TGTCGTCGCAATCCGGCCGAGCGGTGTCACGAGGCATGGGAGGAACCCATCTGCGACATTTTCTTCCACTGGTTGTTTTCGACCTCAGTTGGCCTCTATTGGTGGAAAAAGCGACTGCTACTGATCGCGCTTCCACCGCTAACCTTTGGGTTTTCGCAAGAGCAAATTTGTTTGCAGTCAGGGTCATTCTCATGTCGAACTTTGCTATGGGACAACTCTTAGCAGTGGAGCGCGGTCAATTGCAGTCACGCGACTGAATCGCTGGAGTCGCGAAGTATGAACGGTGGCTGAGCATGAACTCACAGAAAAAGGTTTGAGATATCCGTTTCCGCAGAGCACTTTTACCTGATCCACACATCATTTGTCTTTTCAACGGTCTCTTCAAAGAGTGGCCCAAACAACAGACTTTGCTTTCCGGTTATTTTTTGCATTTACCATCTTTGCTTGTTTTCGCGATCATCTGTCATACCCTTATTCTCAATCAGTGACTGTTCACACCCCTTGATTCTTTTCTTCTCTTCTCTCTCACTCTTTCTTTTCTCTCTCTCTTCTCTCTCCTTATCCACTCTCATTGTTACCTTTGGCTACTTTCTACTTTCTATCGACAGCACCCATTTACTTAGGGCTTCTGAGCACAACGTATGTTCGAAACCTACATGTTTGAGGCAAGGGTCGGCATTTTTATGGGAGAATAAGGTGCATGATGGCCTACTTATTACGAAGCTTTATCCCATTTTCAGCCATGGAAAGCGGCTAGGAGGCGGCGGCTGCACAAGATATAACCCGAACCTTAGGTACGCACCCAGTACCGGCACCGCTCTTTGATCATTTCGCGAGTTTCTTCGAACCTTTTTTACTACATCGTCAGCCTTTCACATGTCGTGCTCCTGTGATTGATTGAAGCAAACGAGCAAAAAAAAACACAAAAAAGCCCCAATCTCCCTCACTGATGCCATTCATCCGTAGTGTTCCACTGAAGTGAAAAACAGAAGAAAAACCTGTTTTCAGACCTCGGTTTTATGCGAAAACAGAATTGGCAATTAGAAAGCATGCAACTGTGGACAGTAGTAAATCGGACTCTCGAAGCAACTATGGTCATCAGACACTACTAGAGTCAACATTATTTTCGATAGCTGTTTTGAGAGAGGGAAAAACTCAAGATTAAATAAGCTAACGTGAGAACGAGTGGAAAACGGAAGCCATTCACAATAGAATCTATAATATTTTCCTCATAGGGAGCGGATTTCACTTGGCATTACATCATTATTGTAGTTTTTAAAGCTCAGCCTATCTAGGGTACAAACGAAGGACAGATCTACCAGTCCAGTTGCTGTATGGAAACTCTTATATTGAAGGCATAAGGCACGATAATTTGCTACCGGTCACGGTAAAAGAGGTGCTATATCGTGAGAAGAGGGCAAAAAAAAGCGAAGAGGAGCGGTCAAGAACCTCCGAAAAATCATTTGTTCTACTCGACTCAGATAGCAATTTCGAACGAGTTTCCCGCTGGTATCGTGCCAGTAGCCGCTACGGTAGATACTACTGCATGTATGCAGCACCGCAGCCGCTTCATGTCAATCCCGTCGCTTCATATTGTACTTTGCGAATGAAGCGAAACTGGGGCCTATAGTCGGTGATGGCGTTGCTGGCTTGGTATTCGCGAGAACACAAATTTTCGAAAGAAACTGGCACCAAAATATTCCAAGCTCAAGTTTCGTGTTTGGCTCTATTTGTTTCAAGCGTGTCACCCTAAAGCGCGTTGTCGAGGCTGACGCCAATAGGGGCATTGTGTATGGTCAAATATTGCCTCGAATTGAAACAGAAGTCAAGCTCACGGCGCATCTTAGGAGACATCGATCATCGCTAGCGCTTCATCTTTTTTGCTCAGTGGCATTGGAAAACTGACCGCTTTGCCGTTCCTTCTTCCGGACGCTTCTTTCGCAAAACAACTGGTTCGCGAAACGTCAAGGTTTAATAACCCTGGACGGCGTTAAAACTATGTTTCGTATTCGGTGGCCAAAAATTTTTCCATGCGTCCATTTTCATATCCGCAAATTCATTAAAGGCAAGTGGGACAAAGAATCACCAAGAAGAGTAGGATTAATATGCCAGCAGGGCAAAATTCGGTGCGCTTGAGCAGGCGCTGCGTGGCACCTTTTCCAAGGAACGTACCCTTATAGTGCCCTACCGAGCTTCAACATATCGACTCGGACGCCTATCGCGCCCTCTCGTCCAAAATGTCAGACGGA